TTTTTTCTTTTCAAAAAATATGCTTTCCTTCTCGAGATATCCCAAAAATGCTGGAAGTCACGCAAAAAAACTCAGTTTTTTACAGGTTTTCTTGCGTGACTTTCAGCATTCTTGGGATATCTCGAGAAGGAAAGCATATTTTTTGAAAAGCAAAAAAATGAACCTGAGATAGGATTTGAAGTATCTGTGGTAAAATTTTGAGCTCGATCGGACCATTTTTTCGAGGGGTCGTAATGTGACTGGATGAAAACCAGAGTTTTCTTGAAAACCCATAGAAGAACACGTCACAAAATTCTGTGCAAAAATACATCGATTTTCTTTTTCGATGTTCTATCTCTGTTATAAATTTCACCCCGATCCGACATCGGCGTCCCCGGTTTTCAAGAGGGTCAAAAAAGAGGGGGGGTACCCTTAAGTATTTCTTTTTATTCTATCAGAAATGACTCATCCTTTTAAACTTGTTTTCGAAAGGTCGAAACCGGTCGTGGTATCTTCTTTGATTCTTTCAGAAATGAATTCTGTCTGAGTCTCTAGTAACTAAGAAGGCGATTGTAAAATTACTAAATATAATGAAAATTTTGTTTTTTTTTGTCAATCGTTTCAACATTCATATACAATAGGTTATTTGGAATATGAAATCGATTATGATCCATGTGATTGTATTAAATTTGAATATGGTTCTTACGGTTATTCAAACATCGAACTATTTAAAGTAGATGACGATTTTATTAAGAAGCATATGTTGCAATCAATTATCAGAAAATCGCATATTCGAAAAAAAACTTCTGATACGTGCTTACTGTCTTAATGTGTCTAATTGTTTTATTGTCTATATCATATACAGCAATAGTCGGTGATGACTAAATGTACTAACTTTATATTGAGAAAAGAAATTTCCTAGTATTATGAGCGAATAATAACAGGAGTTTCGAATACACATGCATCAGTAATCAGAGTATGTTGGACATGTCAAACGCGAAATTACTTCTAAAAACTTTTCACTACCGACTGATACTTACTAATCGACAGAGGACTGGCATTACATTGCATTAATTCTGTTGTTATTTATTAACAAATACAGAGAATACTACCTGACGATACAACATATTTTTATATAAAAAGAACAAATGGATAAACAACGACGTAAAAACCGCATCTACGCCAAAAATTTATTTACATAAAAATTATTGTTGTTATTTTTTTGCTATAGTTGTTAGAGGAAAAATCCTGAAACACATATAAACACACACACACACACACACACATATATATAACTACCCCGTATCTGACTACACTCGAAAAAAGCAAAAAAAAAACACCAGATGTTCGCTGTACTTAAAATGAAATACAGTTTGTCTATAGAAAAATACACGAGATTCACAAAAGAAATAAAAAATAAAGACAACAATAAAGGACCTGAGAAAAAATATGAATAATGATGGTTCAGCTGTCTTTTTCTTCAAGCATAACGATATTTTCGAATAGAATCCGTCGTCAAATCGACACAATATACACATCCATCTTGTGTAACAGCCAGTGAACATGGACGTTTTAATCGATTTGAATAGGAATCAATAACTCGTAATAAAATACCATTTTGATCATAAATTTCAATTATGGCCGATTGTTTCTCACATTTTGCCGCTAATAGTAGACCATTTGAATCAACACATAATGCCGTGTAAAATCCACGATTTGTTGTTGTTGTGCTACCTTTGCCATCAGGGGATATTATACTTGCGATGACTTTTGAACGTCGTTTTTGTTGATTCACACCTAAATATAATAAGATAAAAACTAGCCAATTTTTACGTTGTATTATTTATCATTTACTTACCTAATGATGTAATTAAATCCGGTTCATTATGTATTTGAATATCTGTTGTTGTATCGATTTGTTGTTGATGATTTATCTGTTTTATATATTGTCCATCATAAGAATAAATATGAATTTTTTTATCAGCGATGTATAATTCGTTTTTTAGACCAACTGTGTATGATTTGATTGTTTTTATTTTCGATTTTGTATCGTATGTTTTCAATAGTTCACCTGTTTGACTATCTATTAAATGCAGTTGATTTGAGTCTAATATGAGATATTCTAAACGTGAATCAGTGATAGAATTGACCAGTTGAATTTGAACTGGCTCACAAAATATTTTAGATGAACATGTTAAACGATTTATGATTTGTATCTGACTAGATGAATTGTCAAAGGAAAATTCTGTAATGCATTTTGTTCGATAATCAATAACAGTAAATGTATCCGATGACGAATGATATGCTAAACCAGTACATGTTGATTCAATTAAATTATCAACATCTAAAATAAGAAAAAATCCTTTTAAGGTAGACATTAGGCTATTGCCTCGACTAAATTTAACGTTCAAAAGATTCTAGAAATTTTGCTCTCAACCAGTCCTACCTAAATGGGTCACAAATTGTCCATCAGACGTTAATTTTTTAATTCTACTATTTCCCGGATCCAACACATAAATAAAATCAGTTGAATCAACAACAACACCAACTGGCATTGATAATTCTGTATTATTTCGACCACGTTTACCTAAAACGAAATAAAGACATTCTTAATTCATGGGAGTATGTTGTAAAAGTTAGAATATATACATACCAAAATACCATAGAGGATTATTATGTTTTGTTACGTCTACTGTCAATGGTGATCCACTAATGGGTCGATCAAATATCCTAATATCGACTTTATGTTTTCCAGACATCATTGGTCGAAACGTGATATAATATGATCCACTTTGTTTATCACTGAGATCATATTCACATAGTTTTCCATATGGATCCCAAATATTCACTGTCAATGGATCACCACCGTCAACTCGAATATTTCCATTATAATCAACAGTTTCTATTTGTATACAACATTGTAGATTTGATACAGCTGGATCTATTTTTGCTTTACATAATGGTGGATACGTTGATGATACACGAATACGTCCAACACTGTTGAGTGAACGAGCGAGGTCTTGTAGAGCTTGATTATGACGAAATTCAAATTTCATAAATGAATTTTCACGTGGTTCACCTAATAATGACATTCGTTCAATACGATCATTTAACTCTTGAATACGTTGGGTTAGTACATGAATATCGGACTGTTGTTGAAATATTGCACATTCATGTTCAATTTTCATCTTTTCATCTAAACACAAAAAAATTTATTTTTTAACTTTATTATATATAAGAGAGCTCTCGTGTAGCCGTCAAAAGATTAATCAGTATAATGAAAAACTAAATTTCACTGTAAACTAGCTCCACAGCATGACTGAATGAATTACGAATTATACTGTAACTTTTTTAAGAATCTTTCACTATTGAATTATCTCAGAGATACTTTCTCTTTACTTTAGTGTCGACTAGATGATAACAAAGAACAATGTTTGTCTGTTGCGCTCATAAGCATTATTATGCAGTTAGTTCTCGTTATTTTTTTAATTATATACCCGTAGAGCAAAAGAAAACAGATTTACACCGTTAACGGTTAGGTGATTTAGATCAATCACATTTCTCTGCATAGAAATCATGATCTATCAGTATGAAAATGAATTAGAAATAGTACAACTTACTTAATATGACATTTAATTGATCATTTAATATTCTTAATTTAGAATCTTTCGTTGTTTTTAATGACTGTAATAAATTATGTCGACGATTTTCAACATACGTTTTTATTTCATTAAATGAACGATTTATTGCTTCAGCTATAAAAATATAAATAATAGATAAAGAAATGATATAAATCTTATATTATAATCATAGGATAATGGAAATCTTCTCAGCTTAATCTTATAAAAAGAAAATTGATTTTTTTTCTTTACCTGCTTTTTCCATACTACTATCTAGTCTAATAATTTCACTGTTAACAATTTTGTATGCCTGATCTAGACAACCGATAGCTAAAAATAAAAAGGTAAAAAAGATAGATAAAAATGATAATTATTAACGTAAGATAATAACATATACTTTTTGATGCTTTAAAAAATAAAATTTCATTCATTCGTTTAATTGCTAATGAAAATGGTACAACGGTATGTTCAGCTGATATTTGATGTTCATCACAGAGCATACAAAATATTTTATCACATGTTTCACAAAACAATAATTCTTCATTTGTATGACATAAACATTTTGGTATCACATCACGACGTAAACGTAACATTAAATCTAATAATTGATTGACAATGAATGATGGAGGAAATGATGTTACACCACCTAAACAGATATAATTAAATAAGTTAATTATTTCTGCATATAAGAAAGTAAAAAAAGAGAATTTTGTGTTTCTGTTAGTTCATTGAATATTAACAGTTAGGATCGATTCTCTATTCTCTGCAAGAATCGAAACCGTAGTTGTAAAACAAATACTAGAGTTAAGTGTCGACAAATCAGTTATGTTTAGTGTTCATAAACTATATTTCTGCACCACTATTTTTACATAAGATAGAAAAACATTCTCTATGATTATTATTAAAGATGTTTGAATGTAAATATAACGTCCATTATACACTTACCTCTTGGTAAGAGAATATGTTCGCGGCATATTGGACTAAAACAATGAAATGGAAAACATCTAATTGAAAAATTGTACATATATAGTTGGTCATTCCCGTGCATCATGATCAGTAGAAACGACTCTGGTACTTAGAGACTGCAAGTCAAAGGAGTCAACGAGAAATAAAAAAGTTTAATAATAATAATAACCAAACTTGGTCTTGACAGCAAAGTGAAGGACAAGTAAGTATAAAAGCTATTATTTAAGGTTTAAGAGCGGTTGTAGGTGTTAGATTACAAAGCAGTGAATTTTGTGAGCAAAGTGACTGATCAACCTTTAACCACTAATTAATTGACTCTCTGAGTGTCTATCAGAGAATCATATGTAGTGAGTAGCTAGCACACACATTTTGTCTGATCAATCCTTTCATCCAAGCAAAAACTGAGAAGATTCTCAATGCATAGGATTCCAAGATTATAAGTCAGAGTTAAAAAACTATAACATACCATTTTATAGCATCTGTTCGTGGTTGTGAGTGTATAATTCGTTCTAAACATTGTCGACAAACTGTGTGTGAACATGGCAATAATTTTGGTTGATGTTCAATATCTGAACTATATTGATTTATACATGTACTGCATGTAAGAAAATGTTCAGTAAAATCTTTTGCATTTATGTTAATTGTTTCAACTAGTGTAGATATCGATGTCATGATATTTAACAAAAATAATTGTTGTCATTTAGTTAAAATCTAGAAGACAGAAAAATAAAGAATAAAAATGAGACGTCAAACACGTACTACATACACACGCACACACACCTAATATAATATTTAGTCTACGATATATAGAAGCTTAACCTGATTAAGTTGACAAAAAAAAAAAAAAATGACATTGATTTTTTTCTAACAGAAGATTATGGAGAGTATAATGAGCAACAAGGACATCTTATTTTTGTGTTAAAATGGCAAACGCCAGAAGGATAGTATGTAGAAAGAGCTATTATTGAATATCTATGGCACTTCTCTTTCGTTTCACCTCTTTCTTTCATGCGTGTATATGAACGACTATGGTCTGTAGAAGGTAATTAACCTTGTTTCTAAGTCAGAGTGAAAAAGAGAAAAAAAAAGATTGTCTATCAGATATATATATCGTACGAGATAACAACGTTGACATCAACTATAGACAGACATATTTACTGCAGTATTAGTCATGGTTCTAAAAATAATAGTAAAACTTATTACTACGATAATTAGATAACAGAAATTTTTATTATCAAACACTGAAATTTGAAAAGACAATTTTTATTTATCAATTAAAATGTTAACATTACACTTTCTTCACATAGTCGCATCTTACAGTAATTGTAGCTGCCTTGACACAATACTCGTCATTTAGTTTATTCCTACCTGTTTATTTACAACTTCTCTGCGTTTCAGATGGTATAGTTTATGTCTTGATAAAACTGAAAAAAGACTGCTATTTAATAAAGAAAAGGAAAAGTGTCGAAAAAGTTCTTTTTCGTATTCAGCATACTCAATAACCTCGAAGATTTTCTATTTTTGGCGAGAGGGCGGGGCTACTTCCAGATGTTTAAGAAAAATTTTGAAATAAAATGGTGAAAAAAAATTTCTATGGGAAAATAATATTAATTTCAAAATTTTTCCTTAACTTTTCGAATTACTCTTCGAAAAAAATAGAAAATCTTTTAGGTTATGAAGTGTGCTGAATACAGAAAAGCATTTTTCAACAACTCAAAACTAACTTTTATTATTTATTTATTTTTTTGATAATATAAATTAATTTTATTAAAAAAGGTTAGTTTCGCGAAAAATTATAACTCCCGTGTGAAAAACAATCCATAGTTCTGGGTTTCTCGATTATCTCGCCTACAACTTAATTTACGATTGATAAATAAGATAGCCTTTCATTTGAAAAAACCTCATAATATAAGACCATAAACAATACTAACTAAATCCCAAAAGTCTATAATCAATATTTAATTTCAGAGAAAAGAAAATCCTGTGACAATAGAGCTTCTAGAAAATATTTACATTAAACTTATATTAAACTTGTCAAGATAAAAAAAAGACATTATCAGATTTATATTTACAGGCACAGAATGAATTTTATTCTATGGTTACATCGTAATATTTTTTTTTCTTCTTCTTCTCCATTAATATCTAAGAAACGCAATAGCTAACAAAATTCATTATATGTACGTTGGTTGAATACGCTTTTCCTCTTTCTGTAGAGAAAACAAAAGATAGAGCATAATATAAACAAAGAAGACACAAAAAAAAGAAGAAACGCCCGAACGGGGGCTCGAACCCCGGGCCTTGTGGTTAAAAGCCACACGCTCTACCGACTGAGCTATCCGGGCACATTTGACTATGGATAACAAACGAATCTCATAAATAAAACCATCATATGACTAGACATGCTCAATACACTCGAAAATGATTCAGTAGTGAATGTACGAGTAGTTTTGCTTTCATTTTCAATTCAAAATAATCAATTGTGGTAAAACATCTTGTAACCAATATTTTAAATCATCGTACTCGTGTGTTCACATATTAGTGAGATTATTTTCTTTTTCTGAACGTAATTAGTCGAGAAAGAATGCAGTTTATATGATCATATGTCTGATGGTTATGGTTGATACTTCGTTCCAAAATCTTAAAGAAATTTACTAATTCAGATCACAAAAAAGCTTTATTTCACAATACGCAAGACTTTTAAAAGAAAGTTATAAAAATAGTGAAATATACTATACATACATAGAAATTTTATATTTAGTATTTCGCTGTGTAATAGTCGATTACAAGAAGAAGATTCTATTCGATTCTCAATACTTCACACAATGCGAATAGCTGACATATCAGTGATAAATTATACTTTGTTGAAAGATTAGTAGAACTCTTATGAATGTTTTAGTATAATAAGATAAAGCTACTTGTAAATGATGCTATCATGGCTTTCATTAACTATTTGTAGGCAGTACTTTTTCTATTTACACCAAAAAAAAAGTAGAAGATTACAAGAAATGAAAGATTTCCTTGTTGTTGTTTTAATCTAATATCGATCAAGTGACAATTATTGACAATGTGTATAAATCACGAGTCATATCCGTATGATGGTATCTATCGTTACAAAAAATAATTGTTTCTATTTTATATTTTTTGTGATTGCTATTTAATAAATTAAAGACAAGAAGAAAAGAAAAATGCAATTTCGAATGGAGAATGAGTGAAAAATACGTGTTAGTTTCAATAGTTCTGTGAAAATTTTCAGTTGGAAACAAAATTGATTAATATTCATTTCAACTATTGTTTACCACACGGATTATAATTTAAATGAAAATGGGATAATTATGATTTGCTGATGAATATACCTGCAGAAAATTAATTAGAATCAATTAATGTTAATGAATTTTGATATTAGTAGATAGAAGAAAGTTACAGCTGTCTATCTACTCATTATGTATGATTCAAATTGACTCACCTATGTTCAAGATACTGTGAAAATTTAAATATTATTTATAATTATTCTAGGTCACTTTAACACTTTCTTCTTTTTTTAAAAATGAAAAAAAAAAAAAAAATGAAGCAAATTTTTTTTCGTTCAATTTTATCGTTTTAAACATATACATTGCACATATGTGTTCTCTTTTTTCAATTAACTGTATATACACATACTGTTAGATAACACATCCGAGATTGCACATATATGTACACTTTCTTTTATTCTCTTGTCTCCAAAAAAAAAAAAAAAATATTAAATAAAAAAAAACGACGGAACAAATACAAATCATTGACACAAACAGCAGACGTTGTGAAAGAAGAAGAAAAAAATTCATTACGTAATTATATCTATGCTCATATTTCTTGTGAACAGCCCTTTTTCTAAAACATCCCATCAATAAATCTTATGATGAGTGCATAGATCGAAATAATGGCAAGAAATTTCCGTTTATAGCCAATAGAAAACATCTATTTGATTCAATGGCTGGCAAAGAAAAAATATATATAATAATAAAGAGCTATAACACTTTGGAAGAAAATATATTACTGTCTAGTTTTAACTAAATTTTAACCCACTTGTATATGTAATTGAGAAAAGAAAAGAAAAAGAAAAGAAAAACTGTTCGTTTCGGAAATGACAACATGACCTGAAGAGAAAAATTTCAAATAAAATAGTGTCCAAAAAATTTTTGATCAATGTCCATGTAGATGACACTTTTATTCAACAAAAAAAAAGAAAAATTAATTAGATATTAGAAACTTTTTACTTACTCTACTCAATAGTATGCTCCTATACGAAATTATATATTTAATAATAAAAATTTTCTTATAGTTTTTTAAAACAATTAACAAACGATGTATTAATTATATACGTGCTACTCAAATGCAACATGTGGTACAAATATATGAAATTCTAATTAATTGTTACTTACAATTGTTGTTTGACGTTACGTTTATTCTTGTCTATAGATATATAAAGATGTTCAATATTATTTTAGTGCACATAATTATTCTCTCACCCTTTCTTTCATTTCTACGATCGGAACCATATTTGAATGGAATGTTCTTTTTATAGTATTTGGATAAAATAAATGGTTTTCTTTCGTTTTTATACATATATATATATATTAGGTGTAAATGTCGTATGCATGGTAATAAATAAATGTAAAGTCTACATAGCATAAAATGAACATCACGACTATGCATAAAATCTAGTATAATCATCTATTCCCATCTTTAAAAACATCCTATGTGTACATATACACAACATGTTCTATTCGAATTTTATTCTCTCTCTCTCTCTCTCTAATCCGTTGACTTTGAACACGTAAACATTTTGACTTTGTTTTATATGATAGATACTGATACAGATCATTCCAAAAACAAAACAAAAATGATTGAGAAACAGAGAAAGAAACTTCAGATCATCAAAAGAGTAATAATAACCTCAAACGATCTGTGTTCTCCCTTAAGTTACTCACTCTCATATTTAAGAGCTAAATAATAATAATGATAATAATAATAATAATAGGACGACAACTACGAACAACATATGTATACACTGAAGATTATATAAGAGTAAATTGAGCAAGCATGTTTAATTATAATCGTAGAAAAAGATGTATGTAAAGAGTTACAATTATGTAATTTATTTATTACATATAAAATGAATTGACATGCACACAAATAGCAAAAAAAAATTTAATTTTTAGTGCATTCATTTCTAGGCTAAATAAAATTCTAGAAGTCAACGTTAATTGTAACGAATATTTTTGCATTATTTTCAATATAAAATGACCTTGCACCGTTGATCAGAATATAAAAGTAAGATAATTTTACAAAATCTACAAAATAACAAAATTGAACAACTATGAAACAAAAAGCATCTATATACCGGGTTTAAACATGAACAATTTTAAAAAAAGATCTCTATTTCTCAAAGTAATTTTTATCTTCTAAATAAAAAAATTTAATCTCTTCTCTAAACATACTCAATATTATACACGTATCATTTCGTTTATTCATTTTTTTTATGTCATACAACTGCTTTATCTTCAATTCTCGAATATGATCATTAGAAGAAAATAAATGTTTGAGCATGAGAAATATGTTAGTTGCGCTATCGATTTGATGTTTATTCGAAGGTCATTATACAATTAGAAGAAATCTACGTTTTGTTGAGTGATATG